ATTTCTTGGGGGGCTGATGTCGAGGAAGGTATCCACGACACGAATCCGAAGGTCCTGACTAAATGGCGTCCACGATCAAACCCAACCTCTGGATTTGCCTGACAACGCAGTCCAGGGTGGACTCAGCAAGGTGCCTGGTTCTCCTCCTGTGCTGCTATGCATAGCAGATGATACCCGTATCAGGAGGGAGGCAACCCCGCAGCACCGCATTAAACATGAGGTTCCGCAGGAGCGGTCCGAGGACCGACCTCTGCGAAACCCTGCAGTGCGTTTCCCTACTATGTGCCAACTGGTACCGGCTGGTAAGTACCACCTCCCTGCCGTGGAGATAGTCCCGAACCACCTTCAGGAGATAGGAGGGCACCTGGAAATATTCCAGCGCCGCCGTTATCTTCTTCCAGGGCAGGGTGTTGAAGACGTCGTGATAGGTCTGATCTAGTCAACAAAGATATATACACCTTACATATTTGTTATTTATTTATTTATCCGCTTATTTATTATTATTACATGTGTTACGTCCCAGCTTATCTGAGACTCTTTCTTGGGATCTTAGTATTCAATTAAAGAGCTAAAGCTCACCTTAACTGTATTCGCTAACGGGAAAGAGCAATTCGGGATTGCAATGATTGTTTCCAAGGTTTAGCATATAAATATGTATTGTTACAAAATAACGAGTTTATATTACAATATCGGTTTTGGGAAATCAAGTATACAATTAGTCAGGTACGTTACCGCTTGTCGGTCTTACAGTTTGGTTGTACCAGCTATCTGTTGTGGTCCCAGGGCTGTGCTGTTGCAAGGATCTGTTTGTCGGCAACTATCACTTGCGACACGGGTCTCTACTAATTAACAACGGACTTTCCTCGGTAACGCCGCGGCGCGCGTACGATTACTCTGTCCGTGACTACAATAATTTAGTATTTGACGACCAAAGTGCGACGCTGAGTGCGTGTTCGATTGACGATAAGGGTTCGATGTGATCTTAACCGATTATACGTCGGACTTTCGTAGGTAACGACAACGCGTGAAGTTAACCTGTCCGCGACTGCAAGTTTTCGGTAATCGCCACGATGATAACGTACTGACAGCGGAATAAAAGAGAGCTCCCTGGGGCGTGTCCACGGGTTTATATACTAGCTGATCCTCGCATGGCACGAGCCGTGTTCGGGAACCCTCGTTTTTGCATCCGTTGAAATCGGGAGGAATCCCAAGTTCAACGGATGTGCTGACGTTGAGTGCTGACGCCTATTTCGCTGATTCGCGGATCCCACGATTCGGTTCCCGAGAAACGGTTTCCGAAACGTGCGTCAAGCGCATTCCTAAAAGTATCTGATCCTAACTCTTCGCAATGCGAGGTCGATGAAAAGGGACACCGGCAGGGCCGGTTGTAACACATGCATTTTACATTTTACATATACAACTGTTAACACACACACACACACACACACACACACACACACACACACACACACA